CTACCAAATATTTGTTGCAAATTAGTATCAAATCTTTTTTCTACAATACTAGACCATATTTAATGTACAAATAACCAAATGGTTGGGTGTCAAAACTTTTGATCCACCTCTCGTGAAAAAGATAAATTCCCGCCGATTCAGCTGGAAGTGGGTCAATTTTGAACAGCAGCTGCCTCATAGCTTGCTCTTTATTTTTTTCGAAAATCATTTCTAGGTACATAAGTATCTATTTAATCATAGAAACACCAAAAAAAATCCGAGATTCAACCACTAGCTAGGAACGGTCATTCCCGCCGTTTTGACCGCATTTTGAAACGGGCATAAAAAATTCAAAAAAATCAAAAAATTGGAAAACCTTTGCATTCTGTCATTATATGTGACCAAGTTATCAGGAAAAATAATAAACTTGTAATAAGGCAATTATTTTAAAAAAGTGTTCTCAGAAATGAGCTATCATCTCTAAAGATTCATGGATTTCAAGCCAAATGATCAATCTTATGGCCATATTCATGGCATATTTTGTCCAAATGACCTCATATCATGCACAAAGGTGCATATTGGAATGGCAAACAATGTTGCCTAAGGAAATTTTCATTTTCTTTGGACGAAAAATTCATTTTCCATTTTCCGAGTGCCTGAAATGAGTTTTTTTTGTGAAGGACCTACCATATATTTGTTGCAAAATTGGACCAAATCAATTTTATAAAATACTAGGACATATTTAATGCACAATTGATAAAATGGTTGGGTGCCAAAAGTTTTGATCCACCTCTGGTGAAAAACACAAATTTCCGCCGATTCGGTAGGAAGCAGGTCAAATTTGAACTGCAGCTGCCTTATAGTTTGCTCTTTATTTTTTCCAAAAATCATTTCTAGTTACATAAGTATCTATTTAATCAGAAAAACACCAAAAAATTCCAAGATTCAACCACTAGCTAGGAACGGTCAAGCCCGCAGTTTTGACCGCATTTTGAAACGGGCATAAAAAATTCAAAAAAGATCAAAAAATTGGAAAACCTTCGCATTGTGTCATTATATGTGACCAAGTTTCCAGGAAAATAATAAACTTGTAATACGACAATTATTTTAAAAAAGTGTTCTCAGAAACAAGCTATCATGCGTGAAGATTCATGGCTTTCAAGCCAAATGATCAATCTTATGACCACATTCATGGCATAGTTTGTTCAAATGATCTCATATTGTGCACAATGGTGCATCTTGGAGTTCCAAACAATGTTGCCTAAGGGAGTTTTCATTTTCTTTGGACGAAAAAACTATTTTCCATTTTTCGAGTGCCCGAAATGAGGTTTTTTTGTGAATGACCTACCATATATTTGTTGCAAAATTGGACCTAATCAATTTCATAAAATACTAGGACATATTTAATGCACAATTGACCAAATGGTTGGGTGTAAAAAGTTTTGATCCACCTCTCGTGAAAAAGACAAACTCTCGTTGATTTAGTTGGAAGGGGGTCAAATTTGAACTGTAGCTGCCTCGTAGTTTACTCTTTATTTTTTCCAAAAATCATTTTTAGGTACATAAGTACCTATTTAATCAGAAAAACACCAAAACAATTTCAAGATTCAACCACTAGCTAGGAACGGTCATTCCCGCTGTTTTGACCGCATTTTGAAACGGGCATAAAAAATTCAAAAAAAATCAAAAAATTCGAAAACCTTCGCATTGTGTCATTATATGTGGCCAAGTTTCCATGAAAAATAATAAACTTGTAATACAAAAATTATTTTAAAAAAGTGTTCTCAGAAACGAGTTATCATGCGTGAAGATTCATGGCTTTCAAGCCAAATGATCAATCTCATGGCCACGTTCATGGCATAGTTTGTTCAAATGATCTAATATTATGCACAAGGGTGCATATTGGAGTTCCAAACAATGTTTCCTAAGGGAGTTTTCATTTTCTTTTCACGGAAAATACATTTTCCATTTTTTGAGTGCCCGAAATGAGTTTTTTTTGTGAAGGACCTACCATATATTTGTTGCAAAATTGGACCTAATAAATTTTATAAAATACTAGGACATATTTAATGCACAATTGACAAAGTGGTTGGGTGTCAAAAGTTTTGATCCACCTCTGGTGAAAAAGACAAATTCCCGTCGATTCAGTTGGAAGCAGGTCAAATTTGAACTGTAGCTGCCTCGTAGTTTGCTCTTTATTTTTTTCAAAAATCATATCTAGGTAAATAAGTATCTATTTAATCAGAAATACATGGTTTGATGGCGAGACATCGAGGTTTGGACGGTGGCCGAGGGCCCCAACTCTAGAGCGCATAAGCTCGCATGCCCGCCGCGTGGCCGTAGCGTTGTCATGTGGTCTGGGCGGCCTAGGCATGCCTAGTGGGTTGGGCACTCCCCAGGTAGGTGCTAGGAAGAAAATTATAAAATAAGATTCTCATGAGGAGACCGAACTGTGCTCAAACATGAATTAGCAGCCAAGTATTTGATTAGCGGTACCGGAAATGCACATGGACAATGGGCGTGAGTTTTGGCTGAGGATGATCATATACTAAGAAGAATGTCTTCACAAATTTGTAGGGAAATCAAGAATATATAAATAACACTTCATTCAGAAAGTGCTGCTCTGAACAGAATAAGAAAATGAATATTGTTGAGTTATTTTTGAACTAGGCAAGGGAGATTTTTGACATATTTGATGAAGATATGATCCAAACAATTTATGAGAATTTTTTGGGAATTTTTGGAATAACAGAAATATAGGTTGCTTCACAACCTAGGGCAAAAATCGACACATGGACATGACACATAGGCAAAACTGGTGAGATGGCGCCTAGTCATCACAACCCACCACAATCTACAAGGCTATGACCATCTATATTGGTCGTTAACAACTAGAAATAAGGCAGTGGACCAACACTGTTTGCTTTGTGACCATTTCGTGTAAGAAAATTACGACCTTTCTGACCAAAATGGTCGCAATGGTTTAGGGTTTGGAGCCCCCCGAACAGCTTTTGACCAATTGGTCTCAAATGGTCATAGATCTATGACCAATTCTTCCAGGATCACTGACAGAAGGTCACCAGTTGACATATTTCTTGTAGTGAGAGGTTTTTCGTGGCTACAGAGACTTGCGGCGGCGGAACTCCCGATCTAGGTTATTTCTGCTGGTTTCTATATTTATTGGAATTTTTGGCGTCGAGAACAAGTCAGGGGGGGGAGGGTCCACGAGGAGCCCACAAGACCGAAGGGCACGCCCTAGGGGGGGGGTGCCCTCCACCCTTCTGGAGGCCTCATGGCTCTTCTGCACCAACTCTTTTGCTTCGGGGGCTTCTTCTGGTCCATAAAGAATCACCGTAAATTTTCAGGTCATTTGGACTCCGTTTGGTATTCCTTTTCTGTAAAACTCAAAAACAAGGAAAAATAGAAACTGGCACTGGGCTTTAGGTTAATAGGTTAGTCCCAAAAATAATATAAAATGGTATATAAATGCATATAAAACATCCAGGATGGATAATATAATAGCATCAAACAATAAAAAATTATAAATACGTTGGAGACATATCAGATGCAACTGCGAAGGGCGCTGGGTTCCAGCTCGTAACCGTACGATGCTCCAGTGAGGACGCATGGGAGCAGAGTAACCATGGTGGGAGCTTGTACATGAGCCATGAGAAAGGGTAATGCGAGGGAGGATGGGGTGTGATTTGTTTGTCGGATAAAACTGGAGGGAGGGGAAGGGGATAAAGCTGATGGAAGGGAAAGGGCAGCGAGCGACCCACGTGAGATGATGCTTACGAGACACACGGTTGCACTTCAATCGTGTGGCTCACGTGCGACCGGACGAGTTGTTAGCCGGTCTTCCGGCCGCAAATATTTCCCAAAAATAATACATTGTTGCTACAAAACTTGAGCAGGTATAGGCAGTGTCGGCCGCCTGCATTTCTAGTTTAGTGGAGCGGTGTCAGCCATCTACAAATAATTTAGGACCGATGAGATATCTTACGATACAAACACACACAAAAGAAATATTTTTGATAGTAGCACCCTAGACACTACAAGATAGTATCGAAAATAATATCACCTGCGAAATTCAATACAATTTTCCAATTAATCTAAAAAATCAAGTCTATAAAATTTGATATTATTTTTTAAAAAGATTCAGAAGTTTGAAATGCATGTTTCATCTTTTCAAATGTGAATACAGGAATTGAACTTGGTGTGACATGACCATGGGATGCTACTGAAATAGAAAATTATTGAATATTTACAAATTATATTTCTAAACTATGTTCAAGGAATGGGCCTTTTGTTATCTGTAAGAAATGCCTCTAAAATTGATTTTAAAATTGCTAAGTTAATTGAAATTTGTGCAAAACGTCTCTTGAGTATTTATGAAATTGATTGCATATGACTAAAGCAATTACAATCATTGTGCAATTTCTATGAAACCTTTTTGAAATTCATTGGAATATGACTTAAATAATTGAAAATTATGTAAATATATATGGATCACATTTATAAGTTCTTCTGGACTAATGAATAGTCACTAAAATAATTGATATTTTTTAATAAAAATGATTTTTGTTTAAACATCGCCAAAATAATTGAAATTTTTGAATTAAAATTTAAAAGTTAGACATATAGCTCATATTGAAAGTATTTTATGAATTAATTTGAAGTATCTGAATTTCATTGAGCTATGTGGTTATATTAGATTTTGTGGAAATTCATAGGATCAATATTATTTGGAAATTCTAGACAATCAACACGAAAAATTTATGCAAAATTTCTTCATCTCATAATCCATGAATTCTTTTTAGCTCTTCTCTGGAATAGAGAAAAGAAAAAAAAGAAAAAAAAATAAACAAGGTGTTTCCGGCCCCGCAGATGGGCACGCCAAGAGGGGCGCGGAATAGGAGCTCCCCTTCCAGATTCTCGAAAAAAAAAAGGAGCTCCCCTTCCCCTAACCCCTCCGCCAGCTCCCCTCCTTTCCCCTCCGCCGCGCCGGAAATCGGCCGGCCATGGAGAACCGACCCCCCACCTCCAGCCCTTCAGTCGGCCCGGTCGATCCCATCCCCATCCCGCTGGACACGCCGATACACTTCCGGATTCCCATGGGGCGCGGCCCGGACGTCCTGCTGTCCGTCGATAGGTCTGGGAAGACCTTGCGGAGCTGTGCGGACGGTCCTTGCGACCGCTGGGCAGCCATGCCCGACGTCGCCACCTCCTTCGGCAAGGGCCCGCTCGTCCTCGTCGAGGTGGATGTTGATGGGAGTTACTTCACCAGAACCCACCTCCCCTGCTGCGTCTTCCGGTCGTGCCCTAGCCTGCAGGGGATCATCAACAGAGTCTGCTCCACCCTGGGCCGCCCCTTGCCCTTCTGCTATCACCCACCGTATCCGTATGTGCCAGACCCCAAGCCATCAATTTTCTACTTTGTCCCGTCCAAAATTGGGTTGTTTTCTTTTATTGTCATAATATCAGCAAACAGATAGATGGGGATTTCGGGGGAGGATAACTGAAGATCCTATGCATTTCAGTCGGATTCATGTCGCCACTACTTGCCGGTGTCTGAATTCTCATCTTTCAGTTTTTCTTTGTGTGTAGAAAGCAGGGGAAAAAGTGACTGTATTTTCCTGTGTGTGTATATCTATATCCTGCTTGCCTTGATAATATGTATAATTCCTTGACTAAGATAAATTGCTCATCAAGCTGCTTGTTCCACTCCAGGTGCGGGGACGACTTTGTGGCGTCATTGGTGAACCCTCCTCGCCTTGGCGTCATCGCCAATTGCCTCTCCTCGCCATGCATGTTCACCTTGCACCTGCATAATTGGGGAATCGCATTTTACATCAGGCTTGATCTTGCCGGACTGTACCACACATATCCTCATGTGGCTGGTGGCCCATTTCAGACCTTAGAGGCAGCTTACTCTGCAATCCATGGCGACCTTCAAGACCGACGGGATCCCAGAATGTACCTTCCCTCGAATTCGTCCTGTATTTTCATTTTCGTCGGTTCATTCATCTCTATTTCCGTGTACACTTGCAGTCAGTTACTCTATCTTTGAACAGGTCTTCCTAGTCGCTTACTTCTATGATTTAGGCCATGGAAGATATATAATCCCAGTTTTTAGAACATGAAGCAGCAAAATGACGCAAAACCAAATTTCAACTATATAAAGAACTATAGCCCAGCCTACATTATTTTCTGGATTCCTGTCCTGGGACCACTTGAGAGTTAAGGAGGCATTTTTTTCAACTCTATTCAAGAGGTTGTTGTCAAATAGTACTTCCTCTGTATCAAAATGTAAGACTTTGTTGTAGTTCAATTTGAACCGCAAAGATGTCTTATATTTACATACAGAGGGAGTAGTTCATAAGTTATAAGCATAGCCGAAAATTAGTAATGTACATGGCGATGCGTTAGAACTTTTTTACTGTACGATTGCTTAGCTTTTATCCTGTCACACCCACATATCTCTGCTTCCTTGTGTACTAAACTAGACGATGGTGATAGTTTTTAACTATGTATTGAGAAATTATAGGCTTGTATACGATTAACTGTGTTGAGATAATTTGGAAGTTGTTTGATGTATTTAAACGCCTTCTGCACAAAATAGTTAGTTCACTCGCCCTACGTCTCGCTGATATCATCAACATATTACTGCATTTAGCATCACTTTGTGTAGCCACTTTTGATAAACTAAAATCTACTAACCACAGTGAATGCTCTGATCTAAATTAGGTTGATGCGTCAGCCTAATGATTCTCAAGTGGATTATGTCGTACGCCAATGTCTTCACTGGCCTGATGGCACAAGGAAGAAGCGATTGAAATCGGAACCAATTGAGGAAATACGTGATCACAAGCGCCAGTTGGTTCAAGCTTTGGTGGACAAGTATAACGATTATTTAGGGGTTTGTCTCAGTCACTCCTTCCCACCTCTACTCTATGTCCTGCAGGGTTGCAACGCGTCTTACTGTCTTATTCATGTAATAAAAAAAAAGGGCAACCTGGTGCATGTAGCTCCCGCTTGCGCAGGGTCCAGGGAAGGGTCCGACCACTTTGGGTCTATAACAATTAATTAATTATTACTGACGGGATCCCTTCTTAATTTTAGGATACTACATATGTACTCAAAGATGTTGTGCAGTATACATCAGTTCGTTTGCCCGATTGCCAAAAAATTACCAATCATATCAATTTCACTGCAAGGGCTAAAGGAACTAAAGATTCTGACTGTTCCATGGATGATCTATTCTTTGCTGAAGTCACGTCTATGATGGGAGATGACAAATTAGTGGTCAGCTGTTTCTGCAGGGTTGAAACTACTGACAACGGTATTATATTCTCTTATCCTAAGTCACATTTTGTTCAAATAAAATTAATGAGCCGCACTAACTTGAACTTATGTGTTAGACAGTTCTGTAAATATGTTTCTAGCTCTAGCATGTCGAAAATTCAATATGGCTCGTAGGTCAAACATACTCACATTAAGCCATAACACGGCATTCATAGCATGTCATATTTACTGGTTTGCTATGACATGTTTGTTTTGCCACATGATCCATTATCCTCAAGCTTTACGTCTGTCAACAGATTTATGCATAGCCATGTTGAATGTACATTTTTGTACCGACAATTATTCATCTATAGTTATGTAGTGTTTGTGTCTGATTATAATTATTTGGCCATTAAATCAAAATTCCACCTCACATTGTTTTCGTGTAAATAAAGGTCGCTGCCATGGTTGTACTGCAAAGCACCCCAATGTTGCTGTATACTTGCGTGGTGAAGCAGGCGCATCTCCATTTGGTGGACCTTTCATAGACCGTCAAGTTGTTGAGGAAGATGTAAGTATGATGATTTATTCTATGCTAGGGTTTGTCACTTTTTATTGCTTCACCTCACTTTCAGTTTCATGTCCTTTTAACAGTTAGAAGCCGAGGAGAGAAGGGTAAGACGTTACTACGAGAACCAGGTAATTGCATGTCTCAGTGGTATAGTATCATCTGAAGTAACATGGTGTTGGTTTACTTGATTGATGATTCCTTGTGTAATTGTTTCTTTGTAGGGCCTTGATAAGCCAGGATATTTTGATGAACTGAGAGCAATCATGTCAGGAGGTGCGGTTATGAAGGAAAACTAAGAAAATTTAGTGAAACTCTCTTGTGTAGTGACTGAATTAGTATGTATATGTTTATTGTTGAATTTGGCATGCTGTTGTAGTCAGATGTTGGTTTATATATAGCGAGGGAGCTATACTTTCTGAAGTTTTTGACTTTCACATTTAATGTGTTTTTTTTGTCAGAGAGACACCTGTAATTCTATTAAAGGTACATTGATTTGGATCTAAGATCCAAGAAAATACAAATTAACTCCTATGACCCAGGGGGGGGGGGGGTGTGTTTTGGCTAAATGTGCATTCTGGGTTTCACGGGAAAAAGCACCTTGCGCCTTACAACTTGTACGTGATCTATGATCGCAATGTGAATTCGCTAACCCATAGGTGGTACACCATCCTAAACTCCGTCGTGAAGTATTGAAGTGCGATTGCACAAGCGGAGAAAAGGTTGCCACCGTGTGCGTAAATGGCAGAGATAGTAAGTTTTGCCTCTTTTTGCTTTACATGTTGGCCAATTTATTCATTCACTCAATGTTGCAACATGATAATCGTCATGTTGTATAGCCATCACGCGCTGTCTTTCTGTACCAAAGAACAGAGGGAAAGCCATTCAAATTCATACGTTGTTGGATGACGCTTAGGAGGCACAAACGTCTGGATGAGCAACATTTGCAGATACTGATGCATTGTTGGACTTGAATAATGTTATTTTTTTTCGACAAAATTCAAGAACTTGTTGAACATCCAGTTATTTATGATAATATTTATTAAATTTGAACTATTATTGTACTAGGATATCTGCATGATATTTATGGATGATTTGTGCTACTAGTGTATTATTTTGAAGGCTCCATACATAGGAAAAAAGTAGAGACATGCGTTTGATGGACATGGTTGGATGGCTCTCATAGTTGTGTACCCGGACAGATAGTGAGTCCGATTTGCAGCACCACGTTGGAGATGCACTTAGAGTGAGGAATTTTGTTACTTAAGCTCATGAAACTTGTAAACTAAGCCCATGACAAGGATACGGCCCATCATGGCAGTTATTTTTAATGTTTTATATTTTATCTCTTCTAAAAGGTAATACCAATGCCACTAATACAAACCTTCTTAGAAAACTTTTTTTTGTTGTAAAAATTTGTAGCATTCGCTTGCATGACATCTGGCTCGTGCTAGGTAATGCCAACGATAGAAGCCCCCTATGCATGGGCACATTACCGCTATCCCCGATCAACGTATCAAGATAGTCAAAACCACGGATACATTATGTACTTTCATTTCTATTTCTTAACAGAGTACAATCAAAGATGCTCGCTCACACGCACATCATCCATCCTGTGAAAGCACGCACGCTATGAGCACTTCTGAGGGATTGAGCTGGCACAACATCTCGAGATTGACGGAGTCACCACCTATATCCCGTTGTCGCCGGGAACGTGTCCTTCCACAGAAGGAACATCATCGAAAAGTATGAAACAAATCCAGAAAAATGCAACCAACAATGCTAAGTTTAGGACTTGAACCCTGGTGGGCTGATTCCACCACAAAATACATAATTATCTTAGCTCTGTCTGCCAATTCTATTTTTATTGTATTGGCTATACTCCCTCCGTGCCAATTTATCTAGCTATAAGATTAATTGCACATTCCGTGGAAGGGCCAAGCAGAATTATCGAATTATAAGATGGACTAATTTGCATTTTTATTTTTTGGTGTTGATTGTCAAAATTTTCTAAAATAATATTAATTCCCTGAACTTCCTCAAAATCTAAAATATCCAAATAACTCAATAAAATTCAAATGCTTCAAATTAATTCGTAAAACAGTTTCAATAGGAGTTATATATCTTATTTCTAAATTTTAATTCAGAATTTTCAATTGTTTTGGCCACGTTTAAATATATATCATTTTTGTAAAGTATCAATATTTCAGTGACTTTTCCTTATTTTTATAGATATGATCCATGCATATTTACATAATTTTGAATATATAATCCATCTTCTAATCCATTTTAAAAACTTCCATAGAACGGTTCTAATTGTTTTAGTCATATTCAATCAGTTTCATGAATATTCAACATACTTTTCACACAAATTTCAATTAATTTAGCCATTTAATAATTAATTTTAGAGGCATTTCTTAAATGTAACAAAAGGAACATTGCTTTAACATAGTTTATAAATATAATTTAGAAATGTTCCATAATTTTCAATTTCAGTAACATCCCACAGTCATGTCACATCAAGTTGAATTCTTTTATTCATATTTCTCTATTAAAAATGAAACGTGCATTTCAAACTCTTCAATTATTTTCATAAAATATTTTGAATTTTTATATACTTGATTTTGGTAAATTAATTGGAAATTATATTGAAACTCATAGATATTATTTTCGGAAATTATTTTGTAGTGTCTAGCATGCCAATGACAAACATATCTATTATCTGTGCGTTGTGTTGTAATATTGTTAAGATATCTCATCGGTCTTAAATTATTTGTAGACGGGGTATACAGCTCCACTAAACTAGGAATTGAGGGGGACGACAGCTGCATATACCTGCTCAAGTTCTGATGCTACGATGTAGAGTATTAGCTTATTACCTCAAAAAAAAAATAAAAAAGAGTGTAATATTACTACTCTTTTTTTCTCCAATACGCCTAAGCGTATCTTTGCATTGATAGGTCGGGTGAAAGTAACAGGGTTTTGGGTCCTACGACTTGTGCGCAAAGAGGCAAGTCAGAGGCTCCCGGGAGGAGAGGAGAGGGGGTGCTCAGCACCATTACATACTAATCTACATTACATCAATTAGCGTTTGCAGCCCTTTGGCGCGGGCCATGGCCCAGGCGCGCACATCATCTTGGATTGCTGCAAGCAGGAGGTTGATGGAGGGTTTGCCTATGATCAAAGATACACACGTTGCGGTGCTTTCAAATCGCCCAAGTGATGACGGGGACGATCTCCGTTGAAAATAAGTGTCGTGATTTTAATTGAGAAGAGTAGATAATCTTTGGGCATCACACACATACACAGACGATACAGACGTCTCCGCTTGCATCCCCTATAGTGAAGTCTTTGAAATCCCGTTCGGTGACGGATTGGAATATGACACGTGCTTGTACTTCGTTCACGTCCATCCGATTTGTAACCGACGGTCCTAGTCCCGACACGTGTCATCGTCACCTCGAAGAACAGTCCACCTCCGCGTGACGTTGACGATTAATTACAGCTCCGAATCTCCTCAAAAGAAGGAGAAAGGTTACAACTCTTTCTCAATGGCAGTTCCAATTCAAACTCCGGAGGCAATGTGATTGTGCCCTTTAAATCTCGAGCTACCTGCCGTGAAAGAACTCGCACGAAAACGAAGGAAAGTCGTTCTGCTCGATCCCTGCAGCGCTTGTCCGACGAATCCACCGGCGCCGCGACTCATGGGGCTCGTCCTCCTGCTCGCTCTTCTCGCTGTCTCTCTGGTCCCGTCGTGCTCGGCCGCTGAGGTAAAGACCAGCCCGACGGAGTGGAGCCTCCACCTCCCCCTGCCCAACGGCGTCACCGGCGCCGAGAGCCTGGCCTTCGACGCGCGCGGCCAGGGCCCCTACACCGGCGTCTCCGACGGCCGTGTCCTCAAGTGGGGCGGCAGCGCCGTCGGCTGGACGACCTTCGCCTACCACGCCAACTACAGGAAGTTCCCCATGTGCACCGTGCCCGTGGCGCCGTCGGAGGAGACGGAGAGCCTGTGCGGGCGGCCGCTGGGGCTGGCGTTTCACCGCAAGTCCGGCGACCTCTACATCGCCGACGCTTACAAGGGGCTCATGAGGGTCGGCCCCGACGGCGGCGAGGCGGAGGTGCTGGCCACCAGTGCCGGTGGCGTCCGGTTCAACTTCGTCAACGGCATTGACATTGATCAGGTTACTGGCGATGTTTACTTCACCGACAGCAGCGTGACATATCCACGAAGGTACGTACTTAATCCAGATCCCTTCTACATGCTCAAATTCGATCACAAGCTGGTAAAACTACAAAATTAATACTACTAATCCGTGCAGGTTTAATACGGAAATCATGATGAACGCGGACGCGACGGGGAGGCTGCTCAAGTACGACGCGCGGACGAAGCAGGTCACCGTGCTCAAGGACGGCTTGCCGTACGCCAACGGCGTCGCGGTGAGCCACGACAGGACGTACGTCGTCGTCGCGCACACGGTGCCGTGCCAGGCACACAGGTACTATCTCCAGGGACCAAAGGCTGGCCACTACGAGCTGCTCGCCGACCTGCCGGGCTACCCGGACAACGTGCGGCGAGACGGGAAGGGCGGCTACTGGGTGGCGCTGAACCAGGAGAAGGGGCGCCCGGGCGCGCCCACAGCCCCCGTGAAGCACTTGGTCGGTGTCCGGCTCGACGGTGGTGGCGTTGAGGTCGAGGAGCTGACGGCGGCCAAGGGCGTGACGCTCAGCGAGGTGACGGAGAGGAAAGGACAGCTGTGGCTCGGATCCGTCGAGCTCGATTATATCGGCCTAGTTGCCTAGTTTGTTTACGTTACTAGTACATACTAGCCTTTTTCTTATATAGATACATTATTAGTTTTTTATGATTGTCATAATGTGGTCGGTCGTAGGTTAATTTGTTGGTGGACATAATTGAGCTCGTTTTTAACATAAATTCAGAACCAATATTTCGTTTTTTTTTAGTTCTCTTTGTTCTCAATCTTGGGTGAAAGTTTCTTTTCATGGGAGACGATGGCATGCACATATCATGTGGCAGTGTGTGTACACGTCGTAAAACTTAATACACGGATCATGTTCGTTCAACAATCCAGTTAAATAGCTGGATCAAAATTCTCTCAATTCACTGAATCTTTTTGGCGAACAAAGGCTGAACGCTTGGTCTTCCATCGAATGACAATAGTGGGATAAACCAGCAGAAGAAAAACCGCTCCAGCAAGGAATCAAATAGGCTAATAACGACCTTATCCCGTAGTTATGGTCAACCAGATGTAAACTAAGTTATCCTGATCCTTTTGACCAC